GAATCATATTACAGATAGTAGATAGCCAATATGAAATTTGTACCTCTCATCCCGAGAGAGATATCGCTTGGGCCCCTCGAGTGAGTTGAGACTGAGATGTACGCAATCCAATGATAAGTCATCTAATGTTTCAGTTAACTCAACGAACGAGAAAAGCAGTCGAATCTGATAAGATGGTTGACTCCATGTCTTATGTTCGACATATAGTATTGCGTTACAAAGGAATCATTGTATGGACTATTACTGGCTTTCGATAGACCATGAGGCTAACTCTATTCGGATTAGGTAGTCATAGTGTCTTGATAGAGACCGTCTATGATTTGTATTACTGGAATGGAGATTCTGCATCTTACTACTATTTCGGATGAGCCTACAGGGTCACGCACACAGGGAAGGACGAGATATAGTATTGCGTTACAAAGGAATCATTGTATGGACTATTACTGGCTTTCGATAGACCATGAGGCTAACTCTATTCGGATTAGGTAGTCATAGTGTCTTGATAGAGACCGTCTATGATTTGTATTACTGGAATGGAGATTCTGCATCTTACTACTATTTCGGATGAGCCTACAGGGTCACGCACACAGGGAAGGACGAGCACTACTAGAAAACACGGAAAAGGTGACGCAAAAGGTGACGCAAAATTTGCGTCACTAAAATGGTGACGCAAAAGTGACGCAAATAGTGACGCAATATTTTCGTCACTAAAGCGTCACTAAATAGTGACGCAATAGTGACGCAAATAGTTGCGTCACTAAACGGTGACGCAAAAAATAACGCAAAATTTGCGTCACCAAAAAAGGTGACGCAAGAGTGACGCAAATAGTTGCGTCACCCTTTGGTGACGCAATTTAGTCACCGTTTAGTGACGCAATTGCGTCACTATATCTGTATTTTATTATTTATACGTACAAATACATACATATATATATATATATATGTATATATTTTATATATACATATATATATATGTATGTATTTGTACGTATAAATATATAAATATTTCTATATAAA